GGATTGCAAACTTGTACAACTCCTATGGAAAACAGTGTGGAGAACTCCTAAAAAGCCACAAAGGAACCTACCATTTGACCCAGTTATACCACTCCTTGGCATATACCCAAAGAACTTGTCCTGTTGCAGAGACACTTGTACATCCATGTTTGTTGCTGCTCTTTTCACAATAGCTAAGAGATGGAGGTAACCTAAGTGTCCCTCAATTGATGAGTGGATAATGAAAATGTGGTTCATTTATACGATGGAGTTTTACTCAGCAGTAAAGAAAGATGAAATCATGAAATTTTCAGGTAAATTGATGGAACTAGAAATTGTTACACTAAGTGACGTAACACAGACACAGAAAAACAACAACAAAATGACATATATTGTCCCTCTATGTGGAGCCTAGCACCAAATCCTTATAAGTGAGCATGTATCCATACATAACTACAGGAACCAGGATGATGAAAAGGAACCAGAGAGGTAAAGGAAAAGAATCTGAAAGAGAAGAACAGTAGGAAACAGGCATTAATAAGTGAGACATGGATAAAAATGGGGTTATTTTAAGGGGAGAGGGGAGGGAGCATTATACAAGGAACCTTGGGGATAAAGGGAAAGAAGGAGCTCAAGAGAAGTGGGGCCATAGGAGAAGGGTATTATTAAGGGAGAAATGGCAAAAATGGAGGCACTTTAAATGGAGAAACACGGTTGAAGGGTTAGACAATGTGAGAGATAAATAATGCCTAGCTAGTTTTAAAAAATCAGAGGGAACCGTATTAGTTGACAACCTACTGACAAATTATACACAGAACTAGCTCAAGAAATATAATACATGTCTAGGCAAAGTTTATCTGAGAATGTTTGGTCTTTGCCCAAGCTTTAGCTACATGATACATGGTAATTAAAAGTACCAGATTGGTGGAACTAACCTTCTTGGATGTCTAACAGCCATACTTTGAGGCCTATACTAATTTGGTCAGAGGGACATAAAGGGCAGTTTTTGCTCCTTGCCCTCCTAGGTTGACTAAGCTCCAGGGGACTATGAGCATCTCTCAAAATGTCCTGTTACTGTGGTGTGTCACCTGTCCTCTTGATCAAGGACATGGAGACCCCACCAAATGGACTCGAACCAGTGTCCAGTCTACGAAGAGGGGGGTCAACACAGAGGAAACATTCTCTCCATGCTTCCAAGTGAAGCCAGCCACAGTTGAGCAGGACCTTTGACTTATCTTCACATAGATGGAACTGGTAAAAGAAAGGAGCCAGGGGCTCCTCACAAGCCTATATGACCCCTGAGGAACAGATCCTCAAACAACCTTAAGAGTAAAAATAAATTGGTTTATCTGGACACACTGTATGGTCTTAAACACCCAAAAGGAAAGTATAACCAAGAATTAAAGGGATCAATGTATTTCTTTAAGAATCCATGTGTATAGCTTAAAGCTGCATAACAAAAAACAATGCCAGAGAGGAGATACCTTCCTTTGAATTGCTGGCCAGGTGGCCCGAGAGACTCCCAGACAGTAACCCAGCATATAACTGGGAAAATGAACAGTAGACCCCAATCTTATCTAAAGGAATATTGGCAACTGATTGCTGCTAGATGAGAAAGAGCTGATGTTCCTAAAACAAGGAACTCTACATAAGCCGACTAGATTTAGCAGATGGACGAGCACTGGAGAACAGCTGGAGGCTCTGACTACACAGTGGAAAGTAACAGGGATTACAGAGTATATGGGTTCCAGTGGTGGTGGAGCTATGGGAGGGTGCCATTCAGGATATAGATATATAGATGAATAAGATTGTTTGGAGTGTTCTGTATGAAATACACACAAAAAATCAACAAATAATAAAATGAGTTATATTTGAGGAAGAAGCATAAAAATTTGCTTCATGTTAATTAGTAGAGGTGAAACACATTACCACTGAAATCTACCCTATGATTTTATATCCATGCTCAGGTGGATCTCAGAAAGTAACTAACGGTGACTAGTAATCAGATATGTAGAGATTAGAGACTCATGTGCAAACATCTAAGTGTTAGTAACATTAAAAATGAGTTTTCTGTGTGAAATAGTATATTTTAAAATTT